GTTATGCCATATGATCATCTCTCATACATTAGGTCTGGATTTTTCCTACCATGTTAGTTATAGCCACTGTCAAACAGTGTCACTTTTCCTTTCCTCTTTCTCCTATCAAACTTATGATCCCAGGAGAGGTCACAGCAGTGAATGTGGCAACCCTGCATTTGCTTCTTCTTATTAGCTGCACTTCTGGGTTACTATTGTGCAGCACTCCCACTTCGTTGCAGTAATAGCTCTTAAAAACACAAGTGTTCGCCAACATGCTCATGTAGGAGAACACAATGGCATTATCTAAGAAATGTCTGCCAGGGAAGTGGCATTCACCACTGCATGGATGGCTTAAACTCAACTGTGGTTGGATTTCTGCAGGGCTCATCACAAGTGTGAGCCACTGTGGTTCACCCTGGGGGTCTACACAAACCCACACTGTCCATGGTGGGGGAGGTACAGTGGTACTGGCCATGCATCAGGCCCAGCTTGGGCAAACAGCAAAGAGGTGCTGTGAGGAATGAGCAGGAACACATCCTCTGAACTGGGCCTAGCACTCACCCCTAACTCTCTTCCAAGTTTGGAACAGGTTGCTCAGGGAAGTGGTAGATGCACAAATCCATTCAAGGCAAGGTTGGACAGGTCTCTGAGCAAACTAGTCTAGTTGTTTCCCAGCTGATTGCAATGGGCTGGACTAGATGGCCTTTAAAGGTGTCTTCCAACCTAAACTATTCCATGATTCTATCATTTTATAAAACTTCAGAGAACAACAGAACAACCTACACTTCTAAGATGGGACAGTTGAGAGGGATTTTGAAACAGCTGATACTTCTGTTGAGTTAATCTGGTTCCCAGGGAACCAGATATTTTGGTTGCCAGTGTATTGAAGCAAGGCTGTGCTTTGACTCACAGGCCCATACCAGAGTGGGGCAAGCCCCTCACAGCCTCAGACCAAGCAGATTTCTCCAGCCAGTGGAGTCTGACCTTCCCATGACACCCTCCAGCTCCACCAGAACTGCACTCAAGAGCTTGGGTATTTAGACCTGTCCCCAACCCACAGTGTGAAAACCATTAGGAGGACTTGGATGGGATGGCCAAGCTTCATTGTCCAGCCCTGTATGGTGAATGTCCTGATACTGGCAGAGCACTCCTGTCCCCTGTGTGGTAGGACAGTGGTGGCTCTGCACCCCCTTGACCCCTGCTGGGTGAGGGGCAGCCATGCTTAGAAGTGTTTGCTCTTGTTGGCTGTGCTTGGCCAAGTGCCTACTGGTGCTTCTCTCGGGGGATGGCTTTGCTTCATCACTCACGGCTTGTCACCTTGCCAGGATGCACACCTTGTGGGATTAGCTTTTGGAAATCACAGCTGGGTGCTCTGTGAGCAATGTCCCTTCTAACAGGAAAGCATGTTAAACCTGGAGCCATCCTATCAGCTGGATTTCAGAATTAAATCTCATGTGTTGGCAGCGCTTGCCTCAGAAGAGAAAAAAAGAGAAAGAAAAATCCTGCTTTCTGTGGCATGTGCTGGCATCTAAAGACAGGGGACCAGCAGGCAGGAACCTGGGGCAGCACTAGGAGAGAGCTCTCTGGGAGCTCTGAAGCATATTCCCTTCCTCTCTTGACCCCCTTTACTCTTGTCCTCTACATGCTTATGCACACACGTCCCCCTCTGATGTGCTTGCTATTCCCTGGCTTTACCAGATGCACAACAGCTGACTCACCAGAGGCCCAAGCTGACATGGAAGCAGGGAAACCAAAAACTCCTCACAGGGAGCCCAGTCTGCAGCTGAAACAGAAATCACAGTCCTCAAACTCACAGCTAATGGTCAGCCAGACTCGGGACTTCATTTCCACTGTGATTTTCTCCAGATCTTTGTTATTAGTCTTGCCTGCTGATATTATGTGGTTCTTGCTTTAGACAACTAGTTTCAGGGGTTTAGTCGAGTTCCTTTATTCAGAGTTCTGTGAGACCCACATATTTCGCAGGGGGTCACCTAAGTGTATCACAAGGACGTAAACCTCTGGTTGTCTCTTCCAAGGCCCATGCTGACATGCTTTGTACCATGACTGAGAAGCACACCCATGCTTCTCAGAGCTCCTCTTTGCCCTGCAGAGGTTTTTGGGGCTCCCCATGCTTGCTGTACAATGGCTGCTTGCTTTGACAGCAACCCTAAGTGTGCACAATCTCAGGCTCACTCCGCCTTCATCGAACTTTGCTCACCAAAAGTCTGCATCACTCTACAAGCTGCAGTCTGAAGTGGTTTCTCAAATGTTGCAAAGTCAGGGCCAGAAATGGATAGCAAGATTATGTAATTATTGAGGCTCATTTCACATGCAGACATCAGACCCAATGTCACAGAGAGCCCAGTGAGAGGCAAGTAAAATTCCTTCAGAAGGTTTGCTTTCCCAGGTCCCTTTGTTTATTAATCCTGAGATTTTTCTCAGAAGTCTTTATTATCCAGAACAGGGGTGTGTGCTGTTTGCATGCCGCTTCTTGGAAATTACTGGGAGGCAACTTACTGGGAGGTAATTCTAGATGGGAATCTGAACCAAAGGTGTTGCTTAAGCATTTCGAAGAATAATTGAGCACTTGCTATGCAGTTTGTTTAATAACCTGAAAGACGGATTCTTATCAGAACTCTCCACATGCTCTAGTTACTCAATTGCTTTCTTATTTAAATAAATCCTATCAAATATGTCCATAAAAATAAAAGCACCTCATAAGAGGCAGTTTCACTGAGGTGTGCCTTCCCTAGATAAATTAAATGATGTATTTTTCTGCTAGTATGTCTTCATATGCTTTTTTTTTACAGAGGTGCTGTGTGCCTGTTGGGCTTTCAAGGGCAATGACTGTGCCATGAGTCCCCAGCACTACTCCTGTTAAGGTGCCATGGTGGCAGATGTGGTTGTTAGCTCATCCTGACTGGTCTCAACCAAGTGGAAACATTCCCAGCCCTTTCCTGGAGTTCACAAGGTGAAGCTGGGAAGCTTCACCCTCCTGATGGAGAAAGTACCACTAAAAAATAAAAATCAACATTGAAGCAGTGTAGAAATCTCTGTGTGCTTGCTTCCTAGAGAATGGTAGTCAGTGTACATGTTAAAAAATACCCCAAAAACACCCCACTCTAATTTCCAAGGAGAACTGAATGATTCTCTTCAGGATAACACCAAATTAGTGCTGCAAAGATAGACAAGTGTAATAAATAACAATAAAATAGCTAATGATTGAAAACACAGTGAACAGTGACATGCAGAAGTCACAGGTAGTAGAATGATTGCACATTTTCAAAGTCAGAAGGGCTAATATTTGAGGACCACACCTGAGCTGCGTGCCACTGGGCAGGCTTACTTAAGAGCTGCCAAATGACCAAGTGCAAGCATCCCAATGGCAGGGAAAAATTTCCTCTACCAGCACAGAACCCAAACCAGAGAGGAAGTGCTGGACCAATTCTGAATTTAAGAAAAAAAAGTGATATTGTTAACCAAAAATGAATCCTGACTCCAGAATTACATCTTCAACTAGGAACACTGCTGATGGGCAATAAGCTTGAGCAGTGCTCCCAGCTAAGGTATTGTCCTAACCTGCCCTGAGCCTGTCCATGGAGGTGACTCTGTCATGCAGGAACAGGACCTTGGGCAGTTAAATATTATGTCTAGGCACATATTCCTCAGGACTCACAAGAGAGAGAAGAAACTCAGCAGCCAGTGGAACGGCCTTTGAGCATACACTGCAAGGAGCTGTTAAGGAGGTCTCTGTGCATCCTCTCCACGTGAATGAACTTGTTGCTGGTGTGCTGAAGGTCTGGCTGTCATCCTGAGAACCCAGTCACCTCTCTGCACTAATCTCAGCAGCCACAGCAAAGCACAGTACCTACTTTGCCCCAGGGTCTAATGGGTTTATCCCTCTCATGGCCTGAGGCCAGTTCAAGTACTTGGCTCATTTCATCCTGCCTGCCCTTTCCCAAGTCTGACGGCAAGGGCTGGTTCTGTGTGGGTCAGATGTGAAAGTTGTAAAAAAAGAGGAAAAAAAACCCAGAGACTTCTGTTACACTGTGCTTCTTTTGGGTCTGCAGTGGCTTTGCAACACTGATCTTAAGGTGGGAAACTCCACAAATGTATTAACAGTCTCCTGAGCCACCAAATCCCAGATTTTATGAATTATTCTCATTCCAAAACTCAAAATTATCTTGGTTTTGGAGATTTACCAATATCCTTTGCTGCATGGCTCCACTTTTCTGGTTGGTTTGTTTTTGGTTTTTTTTTTCCTTTTTCATGGCACTTACTTTGAAGTGAATAGTGCAAAGTAGCACTTGTGGCAGTGAAAAGAGGACCCCATAGCCTAGACTTCCTACTACATCCAGAAAACTCCCTTTCCTTTTGATTGCCTCAAATCCAAAAAGATTGCTTTTTTAAAAGGAGATAGTAAAAGTACCATGCCTCAACAGGTTCCAATTAAAGAAGGCCTAATCCAAAATACACTGAAGTTAATGAGACTTTTTGTCTCTTTGCTGTTGGGGCTTGGAGCAGACATCAGCTTCAGAAATGGAACCTGTATCACCTACAGATGTTTTAATGCAGTCTCTTCCTGCAGAAGAGACAGGAATCTTCCTGTGCTATCATCAGCACTACCCACCAGTTTCAAAGAGAAATTGCAATTAATCTTTTTTAACAACTAAAATGCTAGGTACAGAAATGAAAGACATACTAATTTTTTAATCTGCTTATTTTTGTTTCTGTCAAATGCTCGTTTTTCTCAGATCATCAATTAAAAAAGACACTGCATTCAGGGGGAAAAAAGCCAAATCACTAGATTTATTTTAGATCTTTAGATGTTAGGTGACAGTAAGACACCTTGAAAGTTAAAATTCTTTTCATTTAGGGAAATCTGGTCAAAGATTTTGAATATTCACTGTAAACAGACAAAGGTTTTATCAACTATCTTTTTAGCTCTACTTCTACTATATCTTGACATTGGTCTATGTCTATGGAGAATATGGAAGCTTATAAACAGATTAGCTCTCAGAGACTGTTTTCCTTTCCATTAAGAAACAAAATTGGCAGCATGACCACATTTAGCATGAGATGAGCATGCCTTTTATTTTCTTTGAATATAATATGACATTGTTTATTTTTTCAGACTTTTGCAAAATGTTTTATTCCATATATCAATATCTGTCATAAAATATGACTCCAGATGGAAATTTCCCCCACTATATCTGGGAGAAGTGGCTCACAGATGACTGCATTTTCATTTTACGCTCCAGCCACTCTTAAATGTTGGCAGTCTGACATGCTTTTACCCCGAGAAGATCCTTCCTTTGTGATCATTCATATAGCTTATGCAGGTGAGAATTAGTGCTCTTAGGTCTTGCCTATTGCCATGCTAAGTGTCCACCTGTACTTGCAGAGTACAAAACAGGTTTTTTTAGTTTTAGTTTTTTAATAGAGCTTCTTCACAACTTAGCAGAGTTAAATGGGATGTCAAAGTCTCCTCTGGAGACCAAGCAAGAAAATCAATGACAACTTCTTCCAAGGACTAGAAGTTATGCCATCTGTTTCAGTGGAAGCTCCAGCAGTGGCCATATTTATTCTCTTCTGTCTTGGAGCTCCTAAACTCTGCCACAAATAAGTAGATACCAATAATACCAGTTTCACTAGCGAGGATTTTTCGACATTGGTTAAGAAACCTGAACACATCAGAGGGCAGTTCTGCTTGCTCACCTTTGCCAAACTCACGTCCATCCCAAAGCCCAAAGTGGCTGCACGCCTCACCACAAGTGGTGGAAATGGGGTTCCCCTGGGAGTCAGCCTGCCCCCTGCACCAGTCCTGGATGCACAGTGGGCAGGGAGGACAGGAGCCCCCGTGCAAGTCTCCTGTCATCACCCAAACTTTGGCACAAGGGAGTTTGAGGCAAAGGGAGAGATGAGGAAACTCACTGAGTTGCCTCAGTCCTGAGCAACACTCAAGTCACAGGCTTGTCCACGAGATTTAAATAAATAACATTTGGTCTTAAATTAGCAGAAAATAATAAACATTTTAAGGTCTTCTCAGTGTTCTATGAGAGAATAAGAGGCCTTACTATACATCTGAAGAATTAAATTGTCTTAATTGCATCCTTGTGCACAATAAAACATTACATACAGAAGAAAAATATTTTTAAGTGGATGGAAAAATCCACTGGGTTAAAGGAATACTACTGTCAGTTAAATGTATCCCCGCATTTGTGTAGTGCAAAAACAAGCTTTAATAAAAATGAAGAGTCTAATAGGAACATTTCCATGAATTTAAAAATATCAGCAATGGAAAAAATCTCATAAAACAAGTAAACCTCTCCCTTCAATATTTGCAACTCAAGCATTACAGCATTCATTTAGGCCCTGGGAATGTGAAAGCAACTATAAATTATTAATTATATGCTTTGCTCTACAATATGAGAGGCCAGGTTTTATAATCCTTGTCTAGCTGTGGCTCCTATAATTTTAGTACCAGGTGCAAGATTTGTACATTTAGCCCACCTAAAGAAGTTGGAGAAATTACTTGATATGACACTCACCCATCTGGTTTCCAGTGGCCCATAGTAGATACTCAGATAGATACCTGGCTTGAAAGGAAGCCTTATTTGGCATGAAATTTCATATCTACTGGAGGTTGTTTTCTTAACCATTAAAAATACCCTAAGTATATTAGTTATGGATAACCTGACATTGGCCAACCATATCCTGGGCTTCATCAAAAGAAGCATGGCCAGCAGGTTGAGGGAGGTGATTCTCTACCTCTTCTCCCCTCGCATAAGACCCCACCTGGAGTGCTGCTAACAGGAGTCCACATACAGGAAGGACATAGAAGTACTGGAGTGAGTCCAGAGAAGCACCATCAAGAGGACCAGAAGGCTGGAGCACGTCTCCTATGAGGAAAGGCTGTGACAGTTGGGACTGCCCAGCATGGAGAATAGAAGGCTATGGGGAGACCTTATAGCACTGTTCACTATCTAAAAGAGGCCTACAAGAAAACTGGAGAGGGACTTTTTACAAGGACATATAGTGATAGGACAAGGAGGAGTGGCTTCAAACTAGAAGAGGGCAGGTTTAGATTAAATATTAAGGAGAAATTCTTAATTGTGAGGGTGATGAGGCACTGGAACAGATTGCCCAGATATGTTTGGATGCCTCATTCCTGGAAGCATTCAAAGCCAGGTTGGATTGGGCTTTGAGCAAACTGATGTACTGAAAGGTGCCCATGGCAGATGTGTTGGAGTAGATGATCTTGGAGATTCCTTTCAACCCAAACCATCCTACGATTTCATGAAATAAAGAGTATGAAATGCAAAGTTCACTCAAGGAAGAAGGTACCAGGGTCATGTGAGTGTGCCCACTACATTGCTTTACTGCCCAGACTGGTTGCCTCCTTGGAGCACTGTGCTCATTCTGGGTTAATTGGGGATGAACTGCCTCGAAGGGTCAGACTGTGTTTAGACTTGGTCCTTGTTGGTTCAGAGCAAGGTAAGGTACTTACATTTATGACACTGGGAGTCAACTTCTTCCTCTACATCACATTTGCAATAGTTCCTCCTGTCAACGATCTCTAGCTTTTTTTCCTCCAAACTGCTCCCAGGAAGGGTGCTTTGCCTCTCTTCCCTAATATGCAAACCATGCTCCTGTCAATCTCACTGTCAGAATTGCTTCAAAGTCCTCATCCCACTCCCTGTGCTGGGCTGTGCTCATATGAATTTGCCAAATGTCTGTACACCTGCTCTGGGATGGTTTTCCACCTAAAAAAGAACATGTTGGCATTAAAGCATCATGAAACAGAAAAAAATAAAACCCAAACCCTAAATTGATTTACGTTGTTTATCTGGATTTTTTTGATACAGTTAATCGCTGGAAGTAGGATATGCTTAGTTAAGCTCTGAGTGATGTATAACAGTATCACAATTACTGAAGGTCAGAGCTCTATACAGAAGATTAAAACCAAAATACTACCAGATTGCTTCAGAACCTGCAGGAGCCAGATTCTGCCAGAACATATTTTCTGTTTCCTTGCTTCTAAAAACCAAGGCATATAGGATTTCTTTAAAATCTCTTTGTCTTTTCTAATTTCCCATGTATTTCAAATTTTGCATATAAAAAGAACAAATTTTTAAAAATGAAAAACAGTGAAGTTCATTCTTGCCCCAGTAAAAACTTCAGACAAGGCTGTTAAGCTGTGAAATTAGAGCAAATTTTGCAGAATGGGAAGTTCTTTGGCAATGACTCTGTAGATGAAACAGTCTAAAGTAACTTGCTCATAAATGGACCTAGAAACTCAGCATCAAAATTCTGTTCTTCATTTACTGTACAGCAAACTGCTCAGGGAGAATTCAAATGTATTTTGCCTCTTATCATTAGGCCTCAGAGAGCATCTGGTCACTCCCATTGCCTTTGGGTATCCTTCAGACTGATCCCCCCTTGCCTGGTCAGCAAAGATCTCGGTATTTTTTTCCAGCATGAATAAAATCTCCATGACAGAAGAGAAGGAGAAGAAGAGCAAAGCTTCACTGTTTTCCTGCATAAAATCCTATCTTCATTGGTGGTACAATTACACTAGCAAAGAACTGAGGATAGCAGTGTCAAAGCTGCCCCCACTAGGTGCAGAAAAGCTGGTAGAAAGCAAATGAGCCTGGTGGATGGCTGGAGGGAAGCTGGAGGGAGAGGAGTGGGAAGTTCACTTTGACCAGAAAGGACCTACAGAATCCACTACCCTGCTGGGTGTGCAGTGGTCAGAGCAATGTGCTATGGATGCTTGACCTCACCATGAAATAAGGTTGCCTGGATACCGAGCACAGTTCAAAGACTCTGCAGGCACCTGAGGTCTCCCAGTTTATTAGCAGAGACAAACATGGACAACTTAGAAGTTATCTCCTTTTTTAGGCTGCTTCTTGTTCATTTTACCTGGTTCTTGCCTACTTCTGGTCACTTTTCTACTGTGTGTCTTCCCTGAGAACTCCCCACCTGTGACAAGCCATATGCACATAGGGCCTGCCTGCAGAAGCCTACACCCATTAAATTATAATGGCAGAAACCCCCGCAGGCACACTACATTCCTGCTACTTCCACTTAGGGCCTTTTTCAAAGGCAGACCAAAGTGGCAGCCATCTATCCTAGCAAGAAATTGTACATGCTGAAACTTTTATAAATGTGAAATTAGCCACCTGCAATAACTGTTGTAAAATTGTTAAATTAGTAATGGTGATTAGTCTCATTTCTTGCTGTAATATCAGGGAACTAGCATGAAACAGCAGTAAAAATGCTCCCACATAGTCCAGAAAATAAGTTAAACCAAGTCTTCCTCCCTCAGTGAAATCAAAAACCTTGCTGAACTCACAACACTCCCGCCTGCTTGCAAGAACTTTGTCACCCTATATCCCCACTGAAATAGCACAAAAGGGAGCAAGAAAGAGTAATCCATTTTTTAATGCCTGCTAAAAATTAATCTGGCATGAAAAGAATTACAAGTCATAAGATGCCACAGAAAACTGGAATGTTTAAGCTTAATAAAATCACAGTTCCCAATCCCACTTTTTTTACAGCTTGAAGCATCTGATCTTCAACATACATTTCCATCCTCTTCACTTAATTGAACGAAATACGTGGATGCTCTGAATAAATAGCATGACTTCACTCAAGCATGTAGTGTATCACCGAAGGATCCACTTCCTCTGCCATCAGACTGGAGTGCAGACTTTGGATTGTTGCTTTTTTCCCCAAACGCTGTTTCCACAGGACAAATGCAGCTACGATCTGTGACTGCAGGTTGTGAGGGTGATTGACTTTACATCGATAGATGTCAGTATGGGACAAACCCAAGCACAGAGCTACATGCTCCCATTCAGGCCCCAGCCTCCTCGCCAGCTTGTTCAGCTGCTGATCTGTTGGTGACATCTTCAAAATGCACGGTGCAACCTCGGTTAAGTCTGTAAAAGAGAAAAAAAAGAAAGAGAAAGAAAAAGCATGTGTGTCACTAGGCAGTGCTGCAAACGTTAATGGGAGACCTTGACAAAGGAGAGAATAAGCACGAGCAAAGCTGAGGCAAAATAATTAATTAATTAAAGAAACAGAATACATATTGACCTAGAAAAATTAATTACATAATCAACCAGAAGATTAATCAGAGGAAAACTAATGCTCAGTAGACCATACTAGGGAGCCTTGTAGTTTTGGATGTCAGTAACCCAGACATCAGAACTGTACACCAAAGCAAAAACTTCCAAAAGTAATTATAGATTATGGGGTAGTGAACAAGAAAGGTTTTCAGGGAACCTGTTTCCAGCAGTCATCATCCTCAATGTGCTTGCACCAGTATGATACAGTGACAAGTGACAAACATGAGACCAATAATACCTTATTACTCCCATTCTGGGACTCCATTTATACACTTCAGAAATAACTTTGATTCCTTAGGTAATAGGTATTACACTTTTTTTTTTTTCCTGAGGGTTGTTCGCAGGAAATTCTGTCCTAAGATGCTATTTACCCTTTCTGCCCTGTCATATATGGCAAACTCATCTTGAGGAGACCAGCCTTGAGGGCTTTTCCTCTATTTGAATGAATCCATAAGCATGGTTCAGGTGAACCCAAATGAACAGGCCATCAACACTGGTCACAAACACAAATTATGCTTCCTTATTCCTCGGATCTTGTAACACTCCTGAAATCAGGCATGCATGTGCCACAGCTCCATGCATCTGACCTCCTTGAAGATGTTTTCAGGAGAATGCAAGGAGGTCCCATTTTCCTCTGAGATTTTTGCCTGATGTTAAGTCCCTTAGGATTGTCCACATACCCAAGAGAATGCACTCTTCATCCAAAATGATGCTTCACATTCAACTGGTACCTGAGGAGAACAGGATCAATACAACTACCAAAACAGTCTTCACAGGAAGCATTCAGATAGCTGTAATTACCAGCAGTAAAAATCTTGTAGGGACTGAATCAAGCTTTTCTTGCATACACAACTGATATCTTTATATGTTCCCTAGGATAATCTGATAATTAAAATAAAACTCCAAAAGTATTAATACAAACAGCCAAGTTAGAATATTCAGAAACATGCTGTGTGGGATCCAGCTCACCTAACTACAGGTAACACCTCCTGAACTAAATACGCTAGGATTAATTATTGCTGAGAAGAGAAATAGACTCTTCTAAAATACAAACCCTTTCACTGGAAGGAAGATGTCTAAAATAATCAGATTAATTAAACATCTCTAAATGTGTACATTTCTCTCCACTGATTATAAAAGGAGCATTGGGTATAAACTCAAATATTGATGTTGATGCTGTAAACAGCCAGTGACAGCAAAATGATTCTCTGCCTATAAGTCGAAACCATATGCCAGCCTTTAAAAAGGTGCATTTAGAAAAGCAGCACAAAATACCTACAAAGCATATTTGTTCTTTGATAGCCTTTGTGATCAAAAGCTGAAATGAAGAGTAAATGCAATCTACAATTGCTGCTCTACTTCTCTTGCTGAAGATACTGCAAAAAAACACAGGCAAAATACCCCCTGGAAAAATGCTGATTATAGCCTGTTGGTCTGAAGCAGCAGACTCCCTACAGAAATGCCACTTTGCAAAATCTAATTTATAGCTCCAATATCATGCTCACAGTCTCCACTACAGCAGAACAGAAACTCCAGAAAGCACCATTCCTTCCTTTTATCAAAAGTAATTGTTTTTGCATAGAAGACCCAGAGCCTGCAAATGTTTGCAAAATTTCAGCCAAATAATACACAAGAACTACACAAAGCTGCTTTGAATAAAGAGAAAATTGCTTTCTGAAGAATATTTAGGTCTCTTTCACCTTTCTGTCTCCGGACTACCAAAGGAATCTGGGGCAAGTGCTAGTTTGTGGATAGGGCAGAGGATGCACAACTTCTGAAGAAGGCTGAGCAATACCTGTGGGGCTGCCCTGCGCTGTCACACCAGATGTGATACCAGTTTCACAGGCAAGACAGGACACGGTGGTGTCTTTCATGAATGCAAATAGTTGAGAATAAAATAAATATAGCTACACTGTGCTGTCACCAACAATACTTTTTGATATTAAACCCTTTCTTTGACTTATGGTCAGCTACTGTGTACCCACAGCAGTAATACCTGCCAGCCTGGGCTTTTTGCTCTCCCACTGAAGTTTTCATATGTCACATCCACTAGCAGAATGATTTTATGATACTGAAATGTGATCAAGCAGGAAGACCTAACAATAATACATGTCAGCTTGTCCATTCAGCCTTTGATATAAGCAGGCTTTTTTACTACAACAAGTATCTTGCCTTCAGTCTGTTATCAGTCCTTTAATAAGGATCAGAATAAAACCCATCCAGGAGATCTTTTCATCTTATGCTACCATCTGATTCTAATATGGATGTGGAAAACTCTGGGACAGAAGCCAAATGTTAAATTTAATACAAAGGACTGGTATTTCAGTCTCATTTTATTTTCTGTGATAGCTCATTTTCTGCTCTGATACAAAAACATTGAGGAAAATTGGAGATAAATACTACATGACAGGCAATGTTATTTAGAGGTATAGAGAAATATTTAGTGATATCTTTCAGTTATGACAAATGTAAAATCACAAAAAGATTTGGATATGCTCTAGGATTAATGCTGTTCCTAATTTAATAAACATAATGGCATTTGAGGTGAAATAGAAATGAGTTCTCTGTGCTCATGCCCAAACTGTTTTGAATATATTTCAAAAATATTAAAGATACCTTTTTTTAAGGTATGTTTACTATAAACTCTCATTTATAATCTTCACTTGTCAGGAACTGCCTGAGGGAGGTAATGAGATTAGAGCAAAAGTTTCAATTATGCAGATCCTGCAGTTGCATTTGAAAGGTACTTTTAGGATACTGAGACCTCATTTTTGAAAAAAAAAAAAAGGTCAAGTTTTTCTTGCTCTAGGTGGGTCTGATGAGTAGGTGTACATGCTTCCACTTCCACTTAGCAAAATGAGGACTGCACTGTTAAAAATGGGAAGATGTGGAAGAAGCGGGGCTTGGGGCACCACCAGAAGGTGTTGAGGGTTGCTCTGGAGAAGGCAATTTGTGCTGCTGTCACCTCCAGCAAGAGCACCAAGTGAAACACTCTGTCCAGCTGTGGGCATGGTCTAGGCTGTAAGGTGCCACAGCCACAGGCTGCAGAGATTTAGAGGCTGAAATGTCGCTGCTAATGCTGAAGCCACAAAGCAATGAGATCCTGAGCAATGAGGAGCCAACAACTCTGTGCTGGGGAGAGAGCCAGCCTGGTGCAGAGCTGCTCTCCTGGGACCACCAGCCAGCTGGTTCTTGGAACCATGAAAATTCCCTTCCATAGGGGTGGAGATGGAAGGACACTCTCCACTCTGGTTGTGAAGCTGAAACTGACCCAGAGAAAGACATATGGCTCCTTCTATTCAAAGCTGTAGCACAAGGGAATGTGCTTCTCCCCGTCCCTGGTGAAGGAAGCTCATCCACACTAAGCTTTATCCTAGTTGTTCCAGTTAAAATCCAGGAGATGTTGACTGCTTCCGGCCTGTTTGTACATCTGTACTTCCAGACCACTGCACAAACCAAGAGTTACAATGGTGCTGGTGAGTGTGGACAGGAAACAGAGTTGGATATAAATAGTATCACAGATCCAGACCAGACAAAACAGAGTCACCCAAATACTAAAACCACATGGGGCAAAGGCAGACAGTCACCATTTTGCATTTCTTTTTCTTCAGAACCTCTATAGCTTTAAGTAGGAGACTCCAAGAAGATGCTGGAAAAATCAGGGGAACGGAACACAAACTCACCTCAGCTGTGTCCCACTTGGCACAAATGACAGGATGTAAGATAAAGCCCACAAAGGAGACAGCAGCCAAAAGGGCTGAGGTATTTCTGCGTGACCTGAGAAGTACTCAGTTGATTCCTCAGAACTGCTGGGGCCAAAAGTGCCTTACAGTTTTATCTAAAGGACCCTTCCCCATGTACGTGTGACTTCTTTGTGCATGACCAAAAGCATTTGTTGGAGTTTCAGAGAGACTTCTCCACTGCAAAATCAATACATTTTAACACAAACCCAACTTTTTGGCTTTTGCTCCCTACTGGGTAAAAGGGGCTTGGATGGAAATTGCACCTGAATCCAAAGTACTGAAAAAGTCTCAGTCAGTTGTCACCTAATTGTACAAGAACAATGCCACAGGCAGTTCAGGGGTCAACTGAAGAGTCAGGGATATATTATAGCCCATCTTTTATCTAATAACTAATAAATCTGTCTTTTGGGAAAGGTGTTTCTGCAGACTGGTCTCTGCTTCCAGCACTTCCTCTGTATTTTATCCACTTAAAGGACCATGTACATACTTATTGGATAAGACAGAAGGAGCCCTGGAAGAGGAAATGGGAATCTCTGAGCTGCACATTCTAATACTGAGGTGCACAGACATAGTCCATTTCTCCTGGTAAATCATTACAGAAAAAAGATAAAGACATCCCTGGAAAGGGTCAAGAATGCTTCCTAGCCTCCAGTACAGCACCTGCTTGAGAGAAAACTCTCCTGGGAATCAAGCAGTATGCTGAAATGAAGCATGCAAAAGCCCTTGGCAGGAACAATGCTAGGAAAATGCTCTAATTTCTATATAATCACATCAGAAACATGTTGGAGAGTCTGGTCTTCAGACCCTGCATAACTGGAATGGGACTGTGAAGAGGAGTAACTGCTCGGGCATGCATCTGGCCTCAGCATCTCCCCCTGCTAGGTGTATGGAGTCCTTCGTGATCTGGACGCAAGACACTAACTGTTCTTCACTTAACCCTCTTATCAGATCCTCATCATGATTTCTGAAGAGTTCAAAGCAAACATTTCAGAGTCCTCTTTAATCATCTTTTCAGGCATCTGGAGAACAGTTCTTCCCTGAGAAGTAGTAAAGTTAGATTAAGAGGTT